AAGTTATACAAATTCTTTTTACATTTCTTAATTTTTAATTATATACAGGAAAGAAAATTAAAATATTACAAAAAATTTAAAGCAATAAATTTTTTACCATCTTGTGTAAATAAAGGAAGATTTATTACTTGAATTACAGTTAACATTTAATTTTTTTAATATAAAAATATATTATTCTTTAATATAGTAAAAAATAATAATGTATATATTTCTATATCTTTTCTTCTTCACTCGCCCTCGCATTCACGACCGAGAGACCCCAAGATAACGCATACTAGCTCGCTCGCGTGTAAAGACCAACGAAGAGGCGTGGCTTGCCCTCTCTCTTACAATTACTTTTCACCTTCATTTTCTCGCTTATTTTTGCAAATACGAAGATACACTTTAAAACATTTTTTATCTATTTTTTAATTTAACACAACTTTTGTTTGAAACTTTTTTCGATTAAATGCCTAGATTCTAAGATACGGCCATTTTTACCCTTTTTCTCGTAAACGCAACATCGTATTGCAAAAAAATTAGCACCATTCGAATTACCATTGTATCAAACTGTCGAGTAGGTCCACCTGAAAGTTTCTCYTTTGCCTCTTATTGACTGGGCTAACAGCCGAGGCTTGCATGTTTGATTCTTATCTTCGTCTTCGCAAGTATTTTTTGTTCTCAACGTATATTCAAACGTATTTAATCATTAGTACATATAAAAATAAAAAGTAAATACGCATGTTAAAGATTTATATTTTTATTTTACGTAATAATTATGTAAATAAAAACTAATACTTTTATTATGTAATAATTATAGTGTAATATTTGTATTTTGGATATATATTAGATCATTATTGCCATCATGAATTATTGTTTTCTTCGAATAATCAGAACCTGATTGGTTTCTTTAACATATTGGATAAATATATTTATTCCCAAAGTACATTACGTCTAATAACGCACGAGTCCAAGTTTGGAGGCGATTTACGTAAACCGTCAATCGTTATGTATGATGTATACCTCGGTAAATATATTAATTAGTTTATAATAAAACACGGTGGCTTTTTCAAGTTTAGAGTAACTTTATTTCTTTTTTTATTCTTATACCCCAACTACACAGATGGCTTACGTATCGTAATATATATATCTGTTTTGATAGATATTGTCCTAAAAATAACAGATAAAGCATTCTTTACATTTCAAATATAGTCATATAAACTTTATAATGGCACTTGTTTCCAATATAATTTCATCCATTACGCAAAATTTTACCAAATTTGGAATAAATTCAAAGTCTATTAATTGGGGTAAGTAGTGAAACTCTCAAGATTATGTTCATTCTGAATTCAAAGACCAGAAGAACAAGACATTTTGTTTATTTCATATTTTTCCTTTTTAAATAGTATCATGCATCAGGTATGCATCAAAGAAAGCTGGCAGCTGTACGAAAAACAAAATTATTAAAACAAAACCAAAGCGTAGAGGTATGCGTGTGAGCGATGGTGCGTTTGTACAGGCAGGAACAATGCTCGCTACTCAATTGAGACCTAGATTTCATCCTGGACTAAATGTAAGTTAACTATGTTTTATAAATATTTACTGTAAAGTATAGGTCGAATATTGTACCATGTTTATTATGTTCTTT